AATAATGTTTTTTCATTATCAAAGATTATCAAACTTTTATCAAAATTATTTGATACATAGTATTATCGCATTATCACAATTGTTCCATTATTGTCAGAATTATATAAAGGTTTTCGTATCTATATGAAGTAGTCTGATAGAGTTATCTAAAGATTTTCGTGACTACGTACAAAGTATGAAGTATTCCGGAGCACTGGGTTTTCTCGTGAGCAAGTCGTGGCGTCGCGACGCCTCACGCATCGAAACGGAAATAACCTCGCGATAGCACGGCGGCAGGACCCAAATACGCCGTAATGTACGATCTCGGCCCTCTCTCTCTCTTATTGCTTCCGTTTCTGCCTCCCCCGTTACCTTTTTTCGGTCATCGCGACGTCGACGGGCGGATTTCGCGAGAAAATACGATAATCGCTTCCCTCGTCCCGCGTACAGACGGCGGAAACTACCTCGACGGTCTTTTTTAAGTCACTCGATTTTCCATAAACTGCTGGATTCGCTAAACGAACAGCTGTTTGCTACGAATTTAACACGCTTCGCCTTAGTCATATTTAAAACTGTGTTCTCTTTTCTTTAAATAAAACATTTTTTAGCTATTTTGGAAATAAATCTTGCTATACGTAATCTGAATTTTTACACACTGATATATTTTTCTATAATTTTATTTCATCTTTTATTCGTCACTTATTTTCCTGTCATTTTAAGTCAGTGGATGCTATAGAGAAATGCTGCACTCCCAATCATTGATAATACAGTTCAATGATTTTACTGAAAACCCGCATAGACAGTCTGAGTCGGAAGTGTTACAAAAGTTCACGCAGTTCAACGCATCTTGGATGTTTTGCGTTAAGCATGATTGCAGAAGCTCGCCCATTATACCGTTAGGGTCTCGTAGAAAATCTTAAGCAAAGAATTGCTAGGTGGTGGCCTATGAATAAGTACTCTTGCGTACATTGTCATTCTGAACGACGGAACCTTGTCGGCATGCGTAGCGCGTGGCACGTACAATACCATAGTTAACTTGAAAAGGAAAAAACGAGCCACAGATGGACCCAAGGCCCAAACCTTTCGAGTTTTGGATAGGCTCGAGGGCACAGACAATTCCCGTTAAGTATAAATTAGAAACCGGTATTGAATAAATACTTTAGCATCATGATAGTATGTTTATTAACATAAGCATTGGCTTCATAAAATATAAAGTGATTTGTTTTATAATTTGAGCATCATAAAAATGTTTTTAATATACGCGTATTTATGTAATTTAAGTGCTGAAAACATTATTGGACCGCATTAAGATTCATTGGTCCGGTATGGTCTAGTGGCTAGGATACCTGGCTCTCACCCAGGAGGCTCGGGTTCGATTCCCGGTACCGGAAAATTTATTTTTTTATGTTTCTACCAAAAATACAATAAACAATTTCTATTTTAATTCGTACAATTAAACGATATTTATTGATCGTCATATTTGTAAGTAGCCTCAAGCATGTCAAATAATTTGATGAGGCTCGTTACAATGTATAAAATGATTTTTAGTTCGGTCGTTGAATTATAATTTTTTTGATCCATATTCGCCCCGCCTGGAAGTCGATTCTCCACGCGCATTACAAACGCGATGTAATAAGAAAGAAAAGAGGACCGTAGGCAGGTAACGCGTAATCGCTCAATTGACCTGAATCTCTTACGCGAATCCGGCACAGAGCTTCCTGCGATTCGAAGGGAGAAAAACGCGAACGCGGTTCTCGCTCGCTCGATGGAATCCAGACCTTAGTTGCTTCTATTTTCCGTGGAAACGTAAACGCGTATCGAGTTGCCGACGTTAGCGTCCGCATCCACTCAACGGCAGCGACGACGGGCGAAAAATACCTCGCGGTTGCATTGTTAACCGAGCCCTAAAAGCGACCGCGGGAGACAGTAAGACGAAGGGCGACACTAGCTTACCACTCGAGCACGTATTCTCCGACCACTTTTCTCTCCGGCCCCTCAAAATTAACGCCGACCACTCGGTCGGGCTAGCATTTAGTACGTCGGGCTCAGCCTCAGTCCCTCCCGACGCCCTTCACCGATACGTATCGTCTTCCCTCAGCATCTCTATTTTACGTACTTCGTTTCCCTTTCGAGCAGCCAATTTGTTTAATCCTCAAACGCGTCGCGTTGCCATTTCGCAGCATCTCTCATTCATACGTGATCCATTCCAAATCATACGCAATTTCGTTCGACACACTGAGCTTATTTAAAGACGACTCGCTCACGTTAAAAATAAGATTCGATAGAGAAATCTATTTTTGATGATAGAATGACGCAAATATTCTTCCGCTGTTTTTGGTAAGCTTGCGAATTTGGACGACATTCAAAAGCGTAGAACATTTAAATTACCTTCAATTTTCTGCGATCTTCAACTAAAGCCAGCATTCGATAAAAAAAACTGTTCGAGCAGTTCTTCCAACTGTACATACGTTTACCTGTCGAGTTACAGTTACACGCGTCGTTTATAGATTTATCTTGCGTGTGTCATATCGACGTTGTATGGTCGCGATCATAATGCAATTTTAACGGTAACAGGTTGACTCTTAATCAATAATCTATCGCATGTTGAATCGGCATGAAGCAATTTTTCAATTTCTAACAGGAATTCTAATTATGCACAGAAGCTTATCGAGTGGAGACGTTAACGTGTAAGGAAGCAAATATCGTTTCGATCGGCTCGCTATCATTTTCGCAGAATTACACGGCCGGAGGAAAGTACACGGTTTGCATCCTGCATCCTGTCTGTTGCGAAGCCTCTCCTCGGTTCTCTCTTCTCGTTTCAAATTCATATAAGATAACGGGTGTCGGGACACGCGTAAGCTTCATAATACATACACATTGTTCGTTCAGCGGATGAAAAGGGGACGCGATAGATGGGAGAGAAACGGAGAAATTACCGTCGATTCACGTGTTACGTGTTTACCGTTACTACGATTCGTGTGAATCACGTGGTCGACTGGGACTCCGCTTTTTTCTTTGAGATCAGTGCCAAATTTTTTACGACGCTTGAAAATGATAAAAACTGATGTAACATCATTGCGTTTCTCAAGTAACTACAATTTCTATATAGATCCATTTAAAGAATAGTAGTTATGATTGTGGTATCAGATTAATTGAGAAATTATCAACATCTGATTCTATTAATGGCTATTATTAACTATTACAGGCATCGATCTTAGCTATTCTTTACTTTATCTTATTCCAAGAAATTCCTGTTTAAATACTATTTTCTACCACAACACCGCAAACGTTTTCTCTTACATACAAACCTGCAGTCTAGTAAATCCACTACTCAATGCTCATAAAAATATTACAATTAAAATGTTGTCACTCTCAATGAAAACCTGTTTCGTTCGAAAAATATGAAACGTAAAAATTGCCAGCGAGACTCGTTATTTACAACCGACTGATTCCTGCTTACTAACAATCAATTGGGAGCGCTATGTCGTTTTCCTTGGAGATCGGGGTCGCGTCTCACTGGCCAGGGAATGTCCGATGAATATCGACACGCGATCGCCGTTCATTGATTCGTTGAACACGATTTCTCAGTATCGTTACAATCATTTGATACACGCATCGCGTTACGCTACTGTCCGACGCGCTATCACGTTCCAAACCGTATGGTAAATACCTTATGAAACCCATGGTACTTAATCAGTATGAATAGTAGCGTGACTCATTAACCCTTCCCGATGGAATGTTGCATGTAATGTGGCATATCAATTTTCTACATTACTTTTGTTTCATGTATAAACAGCGTAACCGGCACCGCGTTTTCCTCGTTCCAATTGTCGAATGGATTTAGCAATAGGAATATTTCCCAAGTTCAGCAAAACAATTTTAAAATAAAAAACAGTATGGACATTATTACTTGCAATAGACATTCTCTTATAAAAGATTATTTGAAGTATTATTAGTAAAATTGAAGTGCCTCGATAAATTTAAGTCTCGCATGTCTCCAATTTGATGAAATAGTGCAGCATACTTCGATATTAAATGATATAACGAAGATAAAATTCCAAATGGATCGGCATATCTCGTAGCAATTTATCTTAACCAGACATGTAGGAAAATTGGTCATAAAGGATAATCTCTGGGATCGTCTTCTTTATTGTTTCCGCAAAATTTGTTTGACGAGACTTCCGTATGGCCGCCGTTTCGCGAGCCTCGCGAGCCTCAGCCCTGCAATTTACCTACATTCTGCCCGGGGGCATAAAAAATGTTTTCCCTCCGCTCAAGGAGACGCGTTCACGTAAAACGCTCTCCTCCTTGGAATTCACAACGAAATTTCTCCTCGTTTTCGTCAAATTACGTTTTCCTACAATATTATACGAGACATCATCTAATTCGCTATTAAGTGAGCAGAACCGGTATAACAATTTATCAAATGGATTCAGATAATATGTAAAATAATAATTAATGGTAGCATTTAATTAATTGGTTTTTGATTCCCGTTTGACTTAGATGAGACAGACGTAGCTGACCGAGGATGGCTTCCATTATGGGGTTACAGCAGCCAGCTGCATCCCAGGATACCGTGGATTACGCCGGATATTTGCAGTCGACGCAGTGCCATCAGATCCATGGAAGTCAGCCGAACGGGCAAATCCCCTCTGCACAGAAATCACCGTCGAACGATCACAATACCAGCTTCACCAGCACCAAAGGGTTACTCAATGGACCCGGCCAGAACAATTGTTTCCTCAACAGCGCCGTGCAGGTAAGATAAATCCTTTTCACGCAACAACGAAACGATTCACCGTACCAACTGAATCGTTTCGAATGATCGATACGTGTTGCAATAATAATTGCTTCGTCAATTAACGTGCGTTGCTTTGATTACAACATTTATTTAAAAAAAAAGGTATTCTTTTAAGCGCAAATAATAATGAATTCATTTGGAAATTATTCTTACTTCAATGGTAAATTGCGATCGAGTATGGTTGCCGCCTCATCAACACGCGAAAATAACAGCTTCCCACGGACCGTTAGGATTAGTATCGTCGATCGAGGGCTGTTTTTTCCCAGCTTTTGTACGTATACGTACGTATGAGGCCACGGCCTGGCGTGTCCGATAGTACGCGGCGGTAATTGTAACATCCGCAGGAAGCAATTACACGCGGCCCGGGCTCGATTAGAACAATCGATTCGAGTAAACGTCCAGGTAGATACAAAACGAACCGCACGATCGAGTTTCGGCTTCTCGTGTAGCTACGATTAACACGACCTTAATCGCATGAAACGTGCTCTAATGATTCAACTGATAATTTATTGCCAGTGTTTGTCGAAACGAGAGGAGGATTTCACTTCTGAAATCATTCTTTAACAACGATAAACTGATCAATAATTTCTTCTATTCAAATGTATATTGAAATTTTTTATCACATCTGTAAAAAATTTGTGAAGACAATTGCGTTCTTTGACGAATTCGAAAAGACGAAGAATAACACGATTGATTTTTTAATGAAATAATCTTGCGCGCTGATTCCGGCGCTGCAATTGCATTTCTCTCGTCGAAGGTCACTACGCGCCTTCCCGCATGCAACCAGACGGCCAACCATGCATTGCAACTCTGTTTGATCACTCTTAATCCATTAATTAAAACTTGAATTGAAACGAATTCTGAATTGAAAGAAGAAATGATGCACAGAAGTTTCTTAAAAAAAAAACGCGTCTGACGAGTCCCTGCTCAAAACGATTAACAAAGATACGTAAAGACGGTGTAAATCTCTTAACAAAAAGTGAGAAAGGTCCTCCTGAACTGTGAATCTGTTTAAAACGCGAATTGCTGTTCTCCAAGCATTTTTATGGGTCTCATAGTTTATGACCATGAATAGCCAAATGCGGCATTGGAAGCAGGCATAAATATTCACGGTCTGTTAAAGAACAAGACACGTGGAGAGTCTTCGAGCCCATCCCTCATCTCCTTATTCTCTAATTTTCTGCACTCACTGTATATACCCGTGGATCCTTCCCTTTCTCTTTCTTCCTCTCTTATTTTCTGACTGTGACGTACTTTAGTGTGTATTATATCCCAACAAGCCAGAACCAAAGGTCAGACTCTTGTTTGTTCCTGGTTAACGTCATAAGTCTCTCTCGGACCGATTGTTATCTCGCGTTGACTCGAGAGCCCTGGCGCCCGAGGTTAATTGCCAGTGTGAATATGATTATTCGATCCGTGAAGTGTGCACTTTCAACCTCTCATAAGCTACTTGAGATTATTAGAGCACTTGGATCATTCTTGCCCAAATTGTTTTAATCCTTTCATTTTTTTTTTTACTCATACATTCCTCGTTGTATTAAGAGTAAAAATGGCGAAAAAACAAAAGAGTTTGAAATATTTATCGATGAAACGATTCCCATTTATTCTAAAAATTTAATATTGACAACAAATTATTTGAAACACTGCCTAAAATTAAACGACAGCGACAATGGATGTAAGCGAATTACAACATGATTGTTTCAAATTGCAACAACGATGGCTAGCGTTCGCTTTTCATTCGTGACACGGGACAAAAGGCAGCACCACACCCTGGCCGCGTGCACGGTGTGCGTTCACGTTGAAAGACAGAATGGAAAAAAAAAATCCCGCGACTGTATTCACGTGTCACGTGAAGTTAAGGTATATCGCGTACGCGCTTTACATATCGAACGAGCCCTGTGCCGTAGCATCTATAGTTAACGTACGATCATTTCGTTAGATTGGACTAGCTGTTCCCTCGTAATTTATTCACGGCTTCGTTCCGTGTGCTTTGAAATTTAAACCGTCTCCTAGTTTCGTACGCCGTTCACGCTAATCAATGCTACTCGCTGATTAGTTAAACACCTCTTGTAGACGTCTTGTTCTCTCGTTGTTGTTGTTGGATCAGGGATTTATTGATACAGATTTAATCCGAGAAAATTGACTCGTGACAGAGTGATCGTTTTCGTAATTGTTGTTTGTCTTGTCTCAATAAAATTAATTATAAATTTATAGAAACGCCACGTGTATTGGCTTATTTCCTGCGAAAGCGGCAGGTTAATTGTTTTCTTAATTGCTTTCCGTAATATCCCAATTTCACAGGGACGATCCGTTCTCACATTATCAGTGGCTTTCAATTTCACCCGCCAGTGAACGGTGAAATGAAACAATCGCGGTACTGTACTTGTCCACGGGGCAGTGTCCGGATAAATGATAATTCCGTATTTTTTTAATCGAGCCGGTCGATTTAATCGGCTCGTAAATTACCGAGCCCAGGAGCGAGCATAGCCGCGAGGGCTTCGTCAAATCGTTTCATTAGCCGGGGACCTAACGAATCGATGATATAAAACTTGTTTTCGTCGGCCCCTGCTCCGTAATTACCATCGTGGAAATAACGGGAACCACTTTCCTCGACGCTGATAAATGCTCAAGCCACAGTGGCATAAATTATGTTTCGGGCGACTCTGATGGACTTTGTTCTCAGTTTTTTCGTCACGAGTTTATAAAAATAAATGGAAGGACGAAAAGAGAGAAAGCATAGCAAATCAGTTTTTTATATATTTGAACAATAATTTATTTTTAGAGTTTCATTTCGGACAGTCATTACTTCGTACTGAATTGTGTTTGTTTAATCACAGGCAAATGGATGGGACAATAATGAGACCGATAGTCGATCAAATTTTTCAGTAATTGGAAACAGTTACAGCAACTGCTGTTAATTGTTATTTAATTGTTATTCTTTTATTGTAATCCCGGTAGCATTGGATTTTCCATTAATTGGAAACAGTTTCTACCGAGCGATCGGTTCCCTACAATTAACGAAAAATTGAAAGGGACCCGAACCGGTAGAAATTAAAAGCCTGAGAATAATTGAAGTTGTCTCTATTGTCTCACAGCTAGAAATGTGAAAGGTATACAATAGCGTGTTAAAATATTCGTTAAAATAGACCTAAAATATATTCAGATATTTCGTTTCATTGTTCCTATAATAACTGCACTGTTCTGTAGATAATAGAGGAATGGTTGCATACGCATTTGTAATTTAATAATCGATCGACATTGCCTGTCTGCGTAGAGTCAATGACACTCCAAGCCTGAATCATCGGAACTATGATGCCTCTCATTTCTATATCAGTTATTAGCTTATTTCACGTTCCAAACGGTTTGATTAAAATATTTTTCATGGTACCACGCATAAGAAATTCTAGCTTCTAGACTTGGGAGTATGGAGTATTTGTTAGGATCATGCATATTTAACACTGTCCTGTGCACACAAAAAAATTCAGCAAACACCTCCGACGCTTCGAGGGTACACAAAACCTTTACACGCACAAAGCACCTCGCTGTTCCCAGTTGAGGGGTAAGAAAAACAATTTTGAAGGATCAAAGTGGTGACACCCACGTCTCCCGAGTTAGCCTCGGGCTAATTCCCTTTAGCTCCCGTCTTTGCGCATGCAAAAAGTTCACTACTTCTTCTTCTTCTTATCGACGCCCACGCCCGAAGCCTGACGCAAGGATAATAATAAAGGGACCGCAGTGGGGTTTGCGCCACCACTCTCGTAATTAGCGCTGGCAGATGAATCAGTTTCCTATTGTAATTAGCCGCTCGCCGGAAAGGGTTGCACCCCTCTACACCTGTCCTCGTCTTTCTGGGTGTTATTGACACCCAGTCGCTCTCATCGCATACAATGCAATTTTTCTTTCCCCTCGTCGACGCCCGCAGTTAATAGGAGCACGTGCTTCATTTCGCGTTTGCTCGCTCTAAAGTAAACCAAGACGTCAAGAACTTTTTATCCCGTCCATAAATTGCAGTTTCGTGCATTAGGCAAAATTGAGCAAAAATGTGATTTTAAAGTATAAAAGAAATTCTGAAATAACGATAAATCTGAATGCTTCAACTTGATGCTTTAAACTCGATTTACTGAAATAACTCGACTCTAATTTCCTGTAAACGATTCTGCGGGCCACATGTTTCCTGAAAGGCAATCTTTCTGAAACAATGGCCGGGCCATCCATCTGGTGGCACGTGGCCGATTCGCACCTGACCCGATCTCTCCGCAGGATTTAATGGGATCGGTGAAACATCGGTTCGACGTAGGAATAACGACGAGAGACGCGTGCCCGTAGGAGAACATCTGCCTACATTGGTTGCAGATGCACGCGGCGATGCATTGCTTGACGATGATCCGATGGCATTTTAGGAAGGTCCCATCTGTGCCCTTTCGGGCGGACGCCCACTCGTCATTGTTACGCAAACGAGCCCGATTTTCTATTCGTCTGAAATTCTGTTAATCATCGTTGCCCACGTTGATGTCCCTTTGTTCCGTCCACCATTCTTATCCTTTGTCTCATTCTGACGATTAATTATCGTTAATTACGTCTTACTCATTTTCATTTCTCTGCTTATGGTGTCAGAATCTTCATCCAATATTATTAAATGAACTTTTTGACAAAATTATAAACGATCTCTCGAATAATAAAGCTCGGTCGAATTATTCCAAGAAAAGTTTGATTATTTTTCTGAATTATAAATTGTGTGACCACAAAAGCAGGGCAACGGCTCGTAGGGTCCCGTTGACGTCGCTGGCCCATGAATCCGGGTCTCGTTTCGGTGACAATAGACGAGGAGTTACTTGACTTACATATACACACTTAAGTACTTATGTAGAAACGTGGAGCCGCTCGACCTCAGTGGAAAAAAAAGACTGCATCGTTAATGGCGGATGGAACTTGGTGTACGTCGCGATTCGGGCTCGTTG